ATCAACAGCATAGTCTTGAATTAGCGAGGACGTCTGAAATGTTTATATTTATTTGAAAGTATTCAGAAACAAAAATACGGAAATGTTTTTTCCTTGTATCCGCGACCAGCCAGCTGTACATCTTTCGATTTGCGGTCCGACTTAACCGTCTAAAATAAATCATAATCACATGCACACTATATGAAAAGTGTCTGCAAAGAATTCAGTTGAAGTACCAGAAGATTTAAAACAATTTGTACCTACTGCAATTACTGTTACACGACATTTGACAAACAAGTTCATGGTAATTCGAAAATATAAACAATTTATCAACCACTGAATAATATCCTTTTCCGTTTATCAGTTTACACATGCGTTCCTTTAAACTTCTTAGGAAAATTTCTTTCCTAAGTAATTAGATTTGTACTGTAGAATGCAATGTAAAAAAGGAATTTCACAACTACTGCTATTTACCGCACATTCTCCACTATATAGGAAAAAATATATCATGTTTTGTCAGTGCTCACAGTTACAAAAATAGTAAGAAATTGAATAAGTATTACGATATCTAAATTCAGACACAGAGTTATCTTCACATAGGTAAAGTATTCATAGGAATTATAGGTGGAAGACGTCGATTTTTCACTGAAGAGACAGGTTTAATTCAGGGTAGTAATAATAATGACTATACCTAATTTATGTTAAAAATTACAAGGTTTTTCGAAATAATGTTTATCAGTAACAAGTAATTCACAAAGTACATGTTTCTCTTGAATGCTACATTTTTTATCTACTTGATATGGTAACTTATTGCTCGATCTTCTGAAGCATACACGTATTCAATTATTTTATTATCTAACTATATCTACACGATATATTGTGGTATGTGAAAGGGTGTTTTCAGTTAATTTGTAGGTTGTGTTACTACTATATTTTCATCAACCATTGGTGTGATGTGGTGTTAGTATTTTAAAACGTATGATGATTTATTCGAGTGAAAAACTGATATTAATTATACTCTATGCCATTTGGCTGTAAAAAAGGTCGGATCTACAACGCTTCGGTGAGAGCAGTTTTGCTCTATGCTTGTGAAACCTGGTCTCTCCGAGTTGAGGACGTTAGACGACTCTCTGTGTTCGATCATCTCTATCTCCGAAGGATTGCTGACATTCAGTGGCAACACCATGTCAGTAATGCAGAGGTTCGGCATCGTGTGTTCGGGCACAGAGATGATAATTCAATTGGTGTCACCATCTTGAAACACCAACTTCGGTGGCTCGGACATGTTCTCCGAATGTCGTCCCAGAGAATTCCACATCGTGCATTATTTACCGACTCTGGGACTGGTTGGAAGAAGTGGAGAGGTGGTCAGTGCATGACATGGTGTCGTGGCATGAAAGAAAGCTGCAAAGGACTGGCTTCTGTTGGTCCTTCACGACTCCCTGGTTGGGGTCTGAGAGATGGTGCTACACAGTGGCTAGAGACGTTATCAGATATGGCTCAGAATAGAAGCCAGTGGCGATCCTGCTGTAGCCTTCTTTTACTTTCTTCATAAAAAGTGGTTGTGTCTCCCTTACCTGAAAGATTTCTTCCGATTGTACCTTTGCGTTCCCTCATTACTACCACACTACCTTACACCAACCTCTTCGTTATTGTTCTCTTTTTTTCTATTTCTCTTCGAATTCTCATTGTTTTGTGTGGCGCATATATATTGGCGCTCTCTTGTACCAATATTTATGCGTTCAAATAAATAAATAAATAAACTATGCCATTTACTCGTGATTTCCTTGTTAAAATCAGTTTATAATATCTCACATTTACATGTCAAATTAGTTACGGTAACTTAATTAAATTTGAATGTTAGTTAGTTTGACTTTCAGTCGACGAAAATGCTTTTCCATTAGTATGTCATTTATTATACTAAAGTTTGTAAGCGACCTCCACTGATTAATTACTACTTAGTCTAAGGAGTCGATAAAACTAGTCAACCTATTTACACGCTTCAAGAAAAATCATATGCTAATCTATAAAATAAATTCTGTGATTCTTGTACTATATGATGTGTACATGCATGTACACTCAGCTGAGTCCCAAATAGGAGGAAATGCGTGTCCTGAATTCTACTGCTTTCCACCATCTGACTTTGCTTGTATTATGTCCTAATATCAGTTCTTTGTTTTGGATATCATTCTAGGGTCTATTTCAACTAGTTTAATATTCCCCCAAATAATATCCACTGTTTTTCGCACCGACTTATGGAATTGACCTTGTTGTCAAACTCGATATTATAGGTAACCAAATGTCTACACCAATTGGGAGAGGACAGGGGGGAGTGGTAAATCTAACGAACTTCGTACCAGTAAAATCTTTTCCTCGTAGGCTGCGTGATACTCTTCAGAAGCAAGATGTTATCTCATCCACAAATATGTCACTTTAAAATTAACTAATTCAAAGATTATTAAGCATCCTACGAAAATGACATTTCAAGGGTGTTTTTGAAATAATCTTTCAATTTAATGTAAGCAATTGGTATAATGAATAAATCAGTCAAGTGATAAATGAATAAGCATATTAACTAAATATCACTATATAAACTAATTTCTTATGACTATATTTTCTAGATGGACATGATTATTACTTGAAATTAACACGTATTTTAAAACCTTGTGGAGATTGTTGACTGTTATTGAAATCGTGAATCGATCAGTGTTAGACTATCATCTAAAACCTGGAAACCCTAAACGGCTGTTTCTTCTTAACATGGGAATCAGCAGTGAGCATCCACTACCCCGCAAGCAGGATTCGAACCCAGGATCTTAAGTTTTGCGTGGTGTTCACGTCTAACTTGAATCAATCTACGATGTCGTACAGCCGTGTTTCATTTTCTTCGGTAGGTAACTGCCTCACACTCGACACGGTTGAACTCCACTAATCGCGGTTTCGAAATAGAAGTCCAAGAATTCCCTCTAAAAGCCTATTCAATAATGAGTATATGATAATTATCAGTATAGAACTGTGAAGATTGTTGATTTTCAATGGTTGTCTAACGTTGGTCGGTTCATAATTTCAACGAAATGCATCTTACATAGATCGACTAACCAGAATAATTTAACATATTGTGAAAACACAATGTGCAGGTAAATGTCATGGTGAACATAAGCTACTAATTTGAAAACTGAAGGATTTTGTTTGGAGATATCGGTACATAGTTTGGAGAAGGTATGTTTTATTCTATGATGGTGATAAAAACATTGATGCTGTAAATTGTGAATAGTATTCAAATTAATCACGAATCTAATGAAATGAACTAAAACATATCAATGTGGATGAAAGTTAAAATCTAACGCTTATCTGAGCCAATATTACTTTCCAATGTTTAAATCTAAGCGTCTGATTAGTATGAGAGAAATACAGAGATAAAACAAGGTGTTAATGGTTATGCAGATGGGTTTCGAACTTCAAGAAGAACTACTCTAGTAAGTAGAATATTGCTGTTAAGTTATCGGGTAGGCATGGTTGAAAATCATGTAACTAGGTTACGCTTTTGTCAAATAAGTAAATAAGTTCACTTGTTTGAAAATTATGTCAAATAAAAAAGTAGTCGTAATTCAAAGATCATTTAGCCTTAATTAGTTTTCCTAAAACATACAAAGAAAGCAGAACTATATTGGCGGTATAGAAAACAAATATGTAGACAAGATTTTGAAATCCATAACTTCATATACTTTTCATTAAATGTGTAAACAAGTAAATCCAATTAAAATTTCTGTCAAGTGGGTAAGTAAGCAGAAATTATTAAAAGTCTAGTTTCATATACTTGTAATATGAACATGTTTGAGATTTTTGGTAATTCGTTAGACCATTTCGAATCCACAGACAATCATGTTGGTAATGAAAGTGCATGAAAGCGAAATATTTATTGAATTCCAGTCGAAATAACTAAAGTTTGATGAATATTTATCCGTGTCACGTTCGAATTTGTTGGTTTAGCAGAGGGCATGAATTAGTTTTTATGTGGATGTGGGGTTTCACCTGTTCTTACTTGACTAATTGACATCCAGTGTCGGATACTGGATCAACTGAGTACGCTAACCCCTACGTCTTTAAATAGTCAAAGCTGAGACAAAGCTAAACTGTTGGATATAGCTTACCAATTCCTTAATCGTGGACCAAAGCAGAGAAGCATATTAACTATTCAGTATTTTAAATCATTAAAATAAGTACGGACAAACCCTGATATTGTCTTGTTAAAGCCTGATAAAAGATCCGGTGTGATTGTCAAGAACAAATGTGAATGTCAAGGTAAGACATTATCGATTCTCAGTGATGAAAGTAAATTTATGCCTGATGGTGAATGCACACTGCTGAGGAGTCCCATACTAGACCGAAACGGCCGTCCACTGCTTTCAGGTTTTCCATGATGGTCTAGCTTTAATTGACTTAGTATTTCAACCTGTAAAATTTCTAAAAATCTTCACAAAACCACTTCTCATAATAATCATCAGCTCACTAGTGACTGACTTCAAGAGATACTTCTGGAGTTCTAGTGAGAAGCCGTTGTCAGTGAAGTTCAGCCAGGTCTGTTTCGAGTTATCAGCTCACTGAAGACAATGGTGTACGTTGGCGCAACTTCGTGGATTGGTTGAAGTTAGATATTAACACCGTTGAATTCCGGCTCAGTGGTCTGATGGTTAAGTGCTCGCGCGCGAAACCAGTAGGTCCTAGGCTTGAATCCCGCGGGGTGCGGGATCGTGGACGCTCACTTCTGAGGAGTCCCATACTAGGACGAAACGGCCGTCCAGTGCTTCCAGATTTTCCATAGTGGTCTAGCTTCAATTGACCCATGATTTCAACTTATATAATTCACAGTTAAATTAATCATTTATAAAACTTATTTTACAAATTACACACTAACAAAACATCAAAAATTAACCAATGAGAAACTTGGAAATATGTAGTTTTTTATAATTATTAACTTATAATTAATAGACTCATCGAATGATTGCCCTCTATAGTGAGTGTATTAAGATACTTTATACTCAATTTATATTCTAGTGTGATTTGTATTATAAAATAGATTTTCTCAATAGCCAATATTTAATCACAAAATACAATGAAGATGTAAAAACATAATTTATTCTATTTCTATTTAATAATCCATTACAAGATACATATGTGATATCAATGAGTCCATTGAATACAATTTATCGTAGATTATTTATCAAAAAATTATATTATATTTGTTTATTTATTTTATTTATAATTATCCTATTCAATAAAACAATTAATAATAAAATAAATGAATTATCAATATTATATAATTATTCATTAACTTATCAAAATTTAGATATGAATTTGACAAATATTTGTGAATCATTTTTAAATATAGAACCAAATCAATTAGTTGCTAGGCAATATGAAAATTATTCAACAAAACAACATTTATTATATTCATGGAAATCAATGAATGATTGTAAATTATTTCGAAAATCATTTCAATATTTATTATGGATAAATAAAGAAGAATTAAATTATCCAATTGCATTTGCATTTACAGTTTATGAAAATATTGATCGTATAGCACGTTTATTACGTTTATTATATAGACCATATAATTTATATTGTATACATGTAGATCGTAATACATCAAATGAATTTTATCAATCTATAGTTGATTTAGCTAAATGTTTTGGTAATAATATTGAAATAATTAAACGTTCACATAGTGTTTCAGTGAAATGGGGTTATTTTTCTGTATTAGATTCATTTCTTAAATGTACTCAAATTATGTTAAATAATACAAAAATTCAATGGAAATATGTTATGAATATTAATGGAAAAGAATTACCATTACGTACTAATTGGGAATTAATTAAAGCATTGAAAGCTTTGAATGGAGCTAATATCATTGGATGTACAACAAAAAATGGACCAAAGAAAAGAATTCCACGTAGAAAACCATCATTCAATGTGGGTTAAGTTTAAGTTTAAAACAATCTAATGAAATTCTAATATTACTTGACTGGTGATTACACAAAGTTTTAAAAATTTAAAAAATGACTTCAAACATTAAATGTTAAAGAATAATCAAAGATGTCAATAGATTTCTCAGTACCTATAACAAACAAATGACATCGTCCCATAAACTTAGTAGATTTACTTTTTATGGAAGTGGTATATGCTTGAACCAAATAACTTCAATGACAGATTAAGTTCTAACTTGGTTGTTGAAGTTAGTACTGGTCAAAATTGATGATTAATAGTTTCATATGTCTTTTATTTAGTATTTTCTATCATTTTACTTCAGTCACCTCATAAAAAATGAATTTTTTACAAGAGACCTATGGTAACACATCCCAAAACCTACTAGACACTCAGGAGTTGATACTTTGTAATTATTTAGTTTCCATTATTGCTGTATGAAAGCCGTACCACTGACTTGTACAAACTAGTCTGAATATAGTAATATCAATGAAAATGAGTTATAGTTAAGATTTAAAACTTAAAGCAACAATGTATAAGTGTACTTTTATTCATTAAGATATTCTTTCAGACAAACTAATAAGGTGGAATATTTACCTAAGTAGTCGAACTAAAAACGATTCCATTCTTCAAAGTTGTCAAATAATTACTGTACGTATACATACATACGTCTAAAGAAACATAATTGTTCTCAGTTGAATTGTTCGAGGCAGTGTAATATGAATTTTGTGGCTGAAGATTTTTAAATTGTCCTGATGGTGAAATAAATGATTTCGGGAACACTTATATTTAACAACTTTTTCTTGACTATTTATCTCCTGGTTTCTGTTACATAACAATTTTATTTAACTTGTAAATTTCTCAAGAATTTCTATGAACGATATTGATTTCCCCAAATAACTCTTGTAACCACTTAGATTCAAGAATATCAGTTGACTTTTCTGAAGCAAGATGTTATTGTTTGATTTAATGAATTATGTTGATTAATTAATCAACCATAATCGTGGGGAAAAAATAGAACAAACGATCTAAACTGACTATCTCTCAGATCTCACCGATCCTCAAGTACCTGTAACTGATACCCAATAAATTTAGTTTATCTTCTTAACTGTACATGTAAGTTCAAACCGAAAACTTACATTTTTATCCTCATCATGATTCATTCACCATAGCGTGCCCGAATCAATCGTGTAGGCATTTTAAGAAATAAATGACAGTTTAATATCTTCCACTAAATCTAATGAGATGGTGGAGAAAATTTTAGCTCAAGTGGATGATTTTGATGGAGTTGGGTTCTCAGAGCTGGATGTTTCGATCGTGGAGCTTTCATCGGTTTTCCAAACGACATCAACTCCACCTCTCCACGACTAAACCATCCAGCTCAGAGAACAAAACTCCATCAAAAAATAAATCTATTAGTTGTTAAACAGTCATTTGATTTGAAGCGTATATATATGATGTTATTAATACCACGGTTAACAAAGCTATTGAGAGTAAGTATTTTGCGACGCAAATCTTTCCTCTATAATCACAAAGTAGACAATCCTGTTTTCTTTAACCACTTTTATCTCATTCAATTTACAGTTTATCTGTACCCTTTTTCATAATTGATTTAATTTAAATTCATCTTTTGTTACTTAACAAGGTTACATGGATAAAAGGAAGCTTTTTAGTTGCATTACGTAAAGAATTTGTCAGGTATGTACATACGAATTCCAATTCTATTGAATTATTAAATATTCTCAGAGAAGAACAACATTTAATGAAAATACCAGATGAAATGTTTTTCAGTACATTAGCTTATAATCCACAACTATTTGCTCCTGGTGCTTGTAAAGAATTTTATCCACCTAATGAAAATGATAATCAATCAACTTTCGTATCACGCTTCGTTATTTGGAAACCCAAAAGATGTGCTACCGGGAAGAGATATCATACAATATGTATGTTAGGTGTACAACATTTATACAATTTAACAAAACGTCAAGAGTTTTTCGCCAATAAATTTCATAATGGTTTTTATGATGCAGCGTATGATTGTCTTGAATATTGGATATTGAAGAAAATGAAGAACGAACGTTTAACGGGTAGATTAGATCCAACATTTAATCCTCAGTTCTATGCTGATCTACATTGTTCAAAAAACCATATATAATACCTTCGAGCTATGTTACTCTGTTATATTATTTGTGCATTTGTTTGAAAAATCTGTGAACTTTCAGTTTTTTATTGCACCATTCTTTGTTTAAAATATCACTTGCGATTTGAAATACAGAAATGACAATATAATCCACATCAAGTATCACTTAGCACCCTTACTTGGACATGTCTTCTAATTATTTGAAATTTCTGTCCTCTGTATGTTGAAAATTCACCCATTTGTGCATTGTTCCAAGTGCTTTGTACTGAACAGTATATTATTTTTGAATGTAATCTATTCGATTCTAGTTTTGAAAGTGATTTTATCACAATTTGATGGTAAAAGTAAGTGCTCTAAACTGCATTCAGAAGCAATGGATTTTATTATTTTCGTAAGTTTGAAATACTACGTAATTGAAAACCACTTATGATGACAATCTGTGTGTAAATGGTCGCAGGAAATATGTACTTACTGTACGATAAATTTACAGGCATATGATACAGTGACTTATGCCATGACAATAAAAGAGAACATACCTTACATTTAAACTGTGTGTTCATAAAACGCTGGTAGACTATGACTTTGAAAAAAAAAAACCAGAAAAACAAGAGATAACTACTTTTGGCGACATGTTGCTTTCTCTCTGTACTTCCTAGTTGATTGACTAAATTTTAATTATTGTTTTGTAAAACATCATTGAAATAAAATTCAAAAAGGCTGGCTTCATATATTTTAGAATGAGCGACATCACATCTGTCCAGGTTGATAATTATTGTCCTAATCAGCAATATTTTATTCCATGCAATTGGTTCCCTTTATGAATTTAAATAGAGCAAGAACAAACATTGATGCAGAATAGTATGAATTCATATTATTTCGAGGTTTCTCGTCAGCTGCTCACAAACCAAAATTGTGATAGAATTTTTACATGGAGATAGTGTGAAACAATTGACATAAATGAGTGTAAATAACGTGATTACAATAATAACTATATATATATGCTAGAAACAGGTCAGAGGTCAAAAGAAGGGAGTTAATCCAGGGTGGGTGGTGTAATAATTTAGTGAAGTTCATAAATTGTGTGATAATTGTAGAGATTAATGGAATTAAATAATGATAAGGTAGATTACGTAATAATAATTAAATAGGGTTTGGAAAGTTATGATTTAAGAGGACCAGGTGACGGAAATGTGTGAATAAAATTTATTTTAAGAATCAGGTAATAGGGGGGGAGTATAAATTATCTTAGAATAAGTAAATGAATAAAATAACCAAAACACAAAACAAACAGAAACAAAAAGATTACCAGGGTAGTGATAAGTTTATTAAAGTCTCTTTTAGGATGCATAAGTCCGGTTTCAGTTTCTTAATTGCAATGGCTTCAGCAAAGCGGAGAGTGGTAGTGGTTCTTTGTCTATTGATTATTTTAAACGCGTGCATAATATCGACGGTATGCCCGGTGTCAAGTAGATGCCGAGCTATTGCACTGTTAAAAGCTTTAGTCCCTCGTAGCGTCAAGTTCTTCGGAATATGTTCAGAAATGCGAACCTGTACTCTTCTCTCAGTTCTTTCAATGTATGTGCTACGGCTTCAACTGCATTTACCAATTCACATGTACGTGCCATAGCATATTCCGAAGAACTTGACGCTACGAGGGACTAAAGCTTTTAACAGTGCAATAGCTTGGTTGGGTATTTCTATTTATTTTTCCGCGCTGTGTTGCAGTGTATCCTCGCCCTCTTGAACAAAGTCTGCACGCAGTCGAGGTCTACAGGACAAGTTATGAGACATATGCGAAGGAATTTGAACACTTTATTTCTACCTGAAGTTTGTGCTGATGTCGTTCAGAAGAACAATGTAAGCTCCATGACCAAACCATCCAGTTCAGAGAACACAACTCCATCAAAATACCTTTGTTTATTCTTCCTCAAAGAGAACTCTTCGCTTAAACAATCTTATGTTATAATAGGTGTATTCCGTATACTAAAGTATTTAAAATAAGTGATTGTTGTTTAAATTCCCCTCACCTCTTTTCCATTTAATATTCAATTGATCTTATGATAAAAATAATGATTATTTGTCGCACAATTTGCACCTTTTGTATACCATTAGTTAGTGTGCTAAACCGTTTACATTCTATCCCAGTTGATGTTTAGTCATTTATTAATTTATTCACTATTTCTTACTAGAAATCACTTGAATTTGAAATATAAAATCAACATGATGAAAAATAATCTATTTGAAAATTTTGAACTATGAAACTTGAATTATCACACAAAAGTAGTTAAAATCTGTGTACCATTATCAGTTTAATCAACACTCCATTATAATCAAGTCATCATAACAGATATTACCACATTAAAGTGGATCAAAGTTCTCAGTATATTTTCAAAACTAAGCATATCTTTAAATCACTTATAAGCAATTAATTTACAGTTATTTCTCATTAAATTAATTCATAGAGACCTAGCATCATTTTTTTTCCTGAAAACTGTTGATTAGTCAAAAGTCTAAAAGTTGCGAGTGACCTATAACTCAAGATGATAAGTGTCTGATAACGAGATCGTAATTCAGCATCCCTATTTTATCCGAGATGAGACTGTAATTGTATAATTATCTATAATATCCGTAACTAACTGATTATTAGAAGCGACTGATATAGTGACACTCTAAGTTTTTACGATTGATTTTTAAGATCATATGTATTATGACTGCTTTGATTGATTGAGATCATGAACCGACGGATGTCAGACCACCACGGAAAAACTGGAAGCAGTGGACAGCCGTTCCGTCCTATTGTGGGACTCCTGAGCAGTGCGCATCCACAATCCCCCTTGTGGGACTCGAACCCAGGGCCTTCAGTCACGCGCGCGAACGTCTAACCTCTAGTGAAAAGCCATGACCAATGGAGCTAATCCGTGTCGGGTAGGGATAGGTACCTACCTCAGTACAACGGAAGATGGTCGCGCAATTTCGTGGATTTTTATGTTCGATTCCATAACTATAGTTAACCAATCATGTTAAAATAAATCAGTGAATTCATGTCCTATTATCGAAAGCGAAGAGAATGGATTATTTGTTTTCATACTTTATAAATGAATATTCAGTTTGCCTTACTGCGCGATTGTATGCTGCAGTTCCGACAGTAAACATTGGGAAGATTTTGTCTTGTTATGATCCACACTTATTGATACAGGATATAATCTCTTTGCTGGTTTCATATTCGATAACAAATTGATTAAGCTTCTTTTGCCGAAAGTGTGTAGGCGTTAGTTTTTCCAAACGACAAACTTTAAGCTACTATTTCCCCATTTCTCTCTATGGTAGACATACTGATATTTCATTAATTTGAGTGTGATTTATAAATGATCAAAATCTTGAGATTTATATTTTCCCTATTTCGCAATAGATTTAAACCTTCAAAAGTACCCGGAAGGTTAAATAGAAAGCGTCACCATAATGCCAGAGTAATTTATTTTAGAATACATCAAATTCATCACTGAATGTTCATATACACTGTGTAAAGTTTGAATACTTTTGTAAAAAGGTGTATGTGACAAACCTGAGAACTTATTCCTATTTGTAAATGAAGAATATACTACTTGGATAAGTGAAGTAGTATGACGGAAGTAGTAAATCATTTGAAACAGTGACGTATGGGACTCTAAAATTATACTCAGTAAGCCAAAACAATACATACATTTGTGGTCTCATCATAGAGTCCATGTTACCTACACTACGTTTTCTATAGATCTTCCAACAAAAAACTAATGAACTCATGAATCACTGAGTACAAGAACTAAGAGTCACTTGAAGTTAGTAAGGACGCATATTTCGAACCAATAGCGAGACCGAATAAAGTAATCAGACGATTCGAAATATGCAAAATCGTGGAGAATCACTGTTCAGGTGAATGATTTAGGTGGAATTTCGTCCTCTTAACTGTATGGTTTGGTCATGGAGCTTTCATTGTCCTTATGAACATCATCAGCCTAAACTACAGGTAGAAGAGGTTATTGTTGACCTTCAACCTGTCATTGCCTAACTCGTTATTTTGATTGTCTTTCTTTGATATGATTCTCGATCCCATATTTGCCACATTCAGTCATTACTGATTGTTAAGTTAGCCAATGTAAACAGTTTTATCGTATTAACTTATTCATTATTTTTGAATTTCTAGTGAACACAACTGCTAAATCAGTCACATAAGGCATAAGCTTCTACTCAAAAGTGACACTCACGTTGGTGCAACAGAGATATAAGATAAATTTTATGAGACGGTTTATGATTTTACTGATGTCCGAAACTTGACAGATAAAGTAAAATACGAACTCACAAGGGAAACAATAACCACATCTACTTAATTTAGTAGTAAAACAGACTGAGAAAATAAAATCAGGAAACTACGAATATAATCCCAACAGAGTAGATTCTCGCGGGTGGTCAACGTCTTCAACATCAAATGTAAAGAAAAATTAAAAAACAAAATCTCATTCCTAGATATTTTAATCAGCAGAATAAACATAGGATCACTAGAAACGCAAGTATACAGGGACCTGTCACATAGACCAAATACTAAACTTCAGCAAACAACCAACGTACAAGCAGAATTGTGTACATTCGTATTAAAAATAAACAGAAAATTTCTATATCTCTCACTAGGCAAAAACTGAACCGATCGACCAACGAGAAATCAACCCCAGAAATCCGAGAACGGACACTTCTGCTATATGAAAAGCATCTCAGAAAACAGATATCTTGAAGCCTTCTATGACGTGCTGGTATTTGCGGATATCTTGAAGCCCTAGGAATTCAATGTCACCAAACCGACGTAACCGTTTCAAACCGAAAGATAAGTTATTATTAGAGCAAATTCAATATGATAGAACACTTCACTCCTAATTGCTTACTATTATATACGTATACGCTGAGGTACTACCCGGGCGCCTACAACGAAAATGACCTGCTCAAGGGATCGATTTCTGAGCCTTTGATATATAGATCTAACGGACGAAACAACAAAACGATGTCAGATCCAGTTCCATAGCAGCAAGTGATTGAAATTCATACGCCTTCCGTTTCCTAGGGATCCTAGAGCTCATGCATATCACAATTATGAAATAAGTTCTTTCGGGCTCTTGTAGACGGGCCAGTTTAAGCACCGAACGTCAACTCTTCTTACTCTCACTTCCGTTAAAACACCCCCCAACATGTGACGGCAGTGAGTACTACTTTCCAGGAAGAGGTCACGAAAGCATGGAGGTATGGGATCATTTCAAGGAAAGTGAACACTCACTGACTTCGGAGACACCAGGTCGACAGACAAATATACGGCAGCTAAAGCAAACAAATGCAACACCATTTACAAAGTAAATTGTACCAATCGAGAAAAAAATACTAGACTGAACCCCCTTCTTCAGCTACTCATATGCGGACTAGGAGTGAAACATATGTAATAATATTAACGCATGTATACAATTATGAGCAACAATCCAAACGGAAAACGCTGAAATCCAGGATCAATAAAATTTTACGAATTTCTAGAACTGTGGCATTTAAACCAACTGGTAGTTAAACATATCGACAAATATTCAGTCCGCTAAACCATACGAAAAAGGTTGGTCAACCAAATGATCAGAGACCAACCGAACAAGGCAGTCAAGAATAATACAAAGATGAATGTAAACTTCTTCGTCTTCTCGTTAAATCAATCCGAAAATGTTAGGAAAATAATCAAAACGAGACTGAATCAATCCGTGCATTGGCCGAAGATCGAAGTTATTTACTTATTATGCTTTGAAATACAATATAATATGTCCACAGTATTACTAGTATACGCTTTTCTATTTATTTATCAAATACGTTTCATACTCTTTAAATACATAACATACATATAATGGATACAAAGAAACGAAATACAACGTGAGAAGAAATATACAAATGAAGAAGAGTACTGTAAAGAGCTAGTATTTTGATGCACTTGAGCGCCACAGCATATATGGTATCAGTAAGCACGGTGTAACGAACAAAGCGAAACCAATCCACTCAATCTGTTGAAAGAAGAAAAAGAAAAGCAACACAAACACTGCTGTATATTTATGAAACAACTTTTCCTAGTAAATAATTTTAGAGAATTCCCGGTAAACGATGCAAAATTTTGAGACGAATAACTACTTGTGTAAAAGTAAAGTGTTATCAGAAAGCGGAGCATTTCATTCTTACACATGATTACGAGTTCTCATACCGAGATAATCAGTCGATAAGCCAGTCATAAATAACGTAGGACGTGGTATGAATCTATTTCGAGGCAAGCTGCCACATCTCATTAGTGCAGCAAGAGAGGAACTTGATAAGATTAAAAGTGAGAAAATAATATCAAATAAAGCAGAAAGTGAACTACAAGAAATATAATCCAGGTAGAACGAGTGGGATTGAAGAATGAATCCATCTGGTTGCATACCTAAACTTATCAACATGAACACACTTTTAATAAATTGTTTAGTTGAAGTATGCAAATAAAATTGTATTATTGGGACGCAGTGGATTCGTTTTATTAACGAAGTAAAATGTTAGATTAAGAATAAACCTTAACTGATAAAATGAATTCATTTTATTTTGTGAACATACTTTCAACTGTAATTCAAGTTTTTTAATGCGATAAAATGACGATAGAACCTTGAAATTACTTGCTTTCGAAAACAAATGAATTCAGAATTCACTTTATATTAAATAGAACGAGTACACTGAGCGTTCTTAATTTCCACAACGAGACTATAATTAGTGGAACGAGTCTTGGATTTTGGCGCGAAATTTATCCATACAATTGCCAAAATATCAATTTGGCATTACGGCTTATGTCCATTAGTGATGGAAACCATAAATCTAATTCCTAACCCCAACCATCAACAGTAAATCTTAATTCTAGTTCCTCACCATAGTTTATAACCCTCACTTGGTCCTAGCTAGTAGGTGGACATTCTCAAGGTCAGTTAACGTCACTCAAAGGTCGTACATAAATTATAGTCTCATCATTTCTACACTTTTTCAGTACATTTATTCACTGCGTAATATATTTTAGATGTAATATGGTATATGTTCATTGATGACTGTAATAATGTAGTGTGGACATAAGTTTTACAGCTTTAAAGATGATAATATTTGATTGCGTTATCTACAGAACAATCTTAAATGAAATTGTTAGCGGAATTTAGATTGGATTAAAGCACGTAACGTGCAGAATTATGTTGGGACACACTGATTGGCTGTTTCTTAACCAATCAGCGCTGGTGGATATTTGGAGAACTCTGGAGTCTTCTCTTGTAAAAACTATAAATATACTAATGATTTTCTTATTGTGCTTCTTACTTCCATCTACCCTTGTTATTTGGAATATAGTTTCATTCCTGCTCAACCGTCTTATGATTTGCGGATTTATCGAGTATCTAAGAGTACTAAACAATAGGAATAGCTGGGTCATAATAAGAGAAATTATAACAAATTAAATGAAGACAAAAAGACCATAACATATATTGTACAACGACCAGTGAAAATTTTACTAACTGTATGAGAAGTGAAACGCTTGTTATACTCCTTCAGTCTGTGAATTGTAAGTAGACCAGGTGCAGAAGAATACAAAAACTACAAAAAAAAAATAATAGCGTGTTTTTATTTAGCATGTATAAACATTATTTTATTTCATAAAAAAGGTTAACCAGTCACAAGAAAAATGTAACTATTAGAACAATTTCCCTCTACATTCGATGAAAACTTAAGAAGTATGAAGGGTACGGGATCTGGTCCTGCTTATTAAAGTGCTCTCACATTTCGTGACTCAACACACAAGCGCTAAACAGACTACAGGTATATTCTAGGTTGCTTTACTGTTAGCTAACTTTACGACAGTATCTTGTGATCTGAGCGAGATGTTAACTTATGGTAGGAGATAAACCTAGTCATTCTGTTTTCTTCGGTAGATTGATATATTTCATGCTATACTTGTTAACCAAGTGCAATAAGGCCTTTAATGACATTTTACAGTATACTAGTCCACACATTATTTATCCTAGCTTTTGGACAGCCTTTCATAACTCAGACACCATGTGACAATTTAATTACTTTTACCTATGTAACAAATCTATTCTTTCCAAAGGAAGAAGTTAAGACTTTCAGCACATACCTCCTACATTACTTTTTATTACTTAAACATATAAACATTGGTAAAAAGAAGCACCGAATAGATATGCGACAGACAAATCATTCGATTTGTGTGAGGGCTGGTATACTGCTCGGGTGCCCAAACCGAAGCAGGTGGTTTTCTTACGGGCCACACACCGGAGCCTTAGACCTAAAGGTCTGATCCACAATGCAGTGGAGCAACGTAAGGAGATGCAGTTCCATGGTAGCCGGTGATCAACAATAGGTTCATACTCCATTCGTTCCCTCAGGATCTTGGAGCACATGTGAACCACTGGTTTGGGATCAGGGCTTTCCAACTCCCCTAGGTGGACTCTCAATGTCCACCAACCAGGTCAAGGCGCCGGACATTCGGTTTTCGTCCTCTCAGTTTCGTAAACAACACCGCCACGAGAAGGCAGTAATTAGGACTTCCCTGGCAGAGGCTATATACGCGTGGCCATGTGAGAGCATTTCGAGAGGGTGAGAGGACTCTCCCCACTCTAAACTCTACCAGGGCATTTGGGGGCATTCATATTATATACAAACATTGCATGTTTTCTTAAAAATTCACTCTCCGTGTCCATCAACCCGGTTAAAGCGCCCGACATTCCCTTTTTGTCCTTTCACTTTCGTAAACAACACCCCGCCGCGAGAACGCAGTGAGTAGAACTTCCCTCATACATATATGCCCTTGTAGTCCTACATTTTGTGTGTACGTCAGTACGGTTACTATTTTGTCCGGTTACTGGTTCTTTGTGACACTACATATTATCTATTTTCAATCATATTAACGCTTGTAGTAAGCAAGATTCTGAGTTAGCACGCTCTTCTTCTCTGCTTCGCTTTTCATCTTTCTATCTGTCCGAGTAATTGAATGCCTGAAATAAATTTATTTGACTATATTTATTTATTTATAAATAAATAAAATTTATTTATTTGAACACAAATATTGGTACAAGAGGGCACCAAATATATGTGCACCACACAAAACAATGAAAATTCGAAGAGAAAAAAAGGAAGGTAAGGAGCGTAAAAAAGAGAACAAAAACAGATTAGTGTAAGGTAGTGTAATAATAATAAAAATAAAAATAATAGTAATAATGAGGGAAACGGAAAGGTACAATCAGAAGGAATTTTTCAGTTAAGGAAGATACAACCATTTTTTATGAACCAAGTAAGAGAAGGTTACAGCAGGATCGCCACTGGCTTCTACTCTGAGCCATATCTGATAACGTCTCTAGTCACTGTGTTGCACCATCTCTAAGACCCAAGCCAGGGAGTCGTGAAGGACCAACAGAAGTCAGCCCTTTGCAGCTTTCTTTCATACCACGACACCATGTCATATACTGACCACCTCTCCGCTTTCTCCAACCAGTCCCAGAGTCGGCAAATAATGCACGACGTGGAGTTCTCTGGGACGACATTCGGAGAACATGTCCGAGCCACCGAAGTTGGTGTTTCAAGATGGTGACACCAATTGCATTATCGTCTCTGTGCCCGAAAACACGATGCCGAACCTCTGCATTACTAACATGGTGTCGCCACTGGATGTCAGCAATCCTTCGGAGATAGAGATGATCGAACACAGAGAGTCGTCTAACGTCCTCAACTCGGAGAGGCCAGGTTTCACAAGCATAGAGCAAAACTGCTCCCACCGACGCGTTGTAGATCCAATCTTTTACAGCCAGACTAACATCACGAAGGCGCCAAAGATGGCCCAGACTGGGTCATCCGACTAAACTCGTGTCTACTTTTTTATTACTGCCGTCGTCCAAATGGAGTTAGAATAGGTAAAACATACGAAATCAAATAAAGAATCTGTGCTCATGGTTAATTCATCGTTCGTTCGTTTGATCATTAACAGAGCTAGACAACCGGGCCTAAAACATCAACTGTGTTGCCACAAAACTAAGTTAGATTTTAATAATACTAAACACTGGTCTGGATGATTTGTAAGTATTTGTAAATATTTATACTTCGTCAGTGTTTTTCATTTAACCAGTAATACAATCGAATGTTAGTCAGTCAGCTACAACGTAGGACCAGGCACATATATGCATCGGTCCAAGTTGCCATACCTCATTAACACAACAGGATGGATACCGGATTCATAAAAGTAGTTAATTCAGAGGTGATAATATGTAAAAGAAAGATATAGTACAGGAAGAAAGAATTAGTTCGTAGAAAGAAAGATATGAAACGATTTTAATCTCTTAGTTTAAGGGAAGACAGAGAGTGTATACACCGACGCCATTGGGGTCGATTCTGAGCCATTTCACCAAGAGTCTCCAATCATTGGTTACGATAGTCACGAGGACCCCAACCATGTAGTCTGTATCTACCAACATGGCTCGGATTAGAATTTAGTGACTTCAAGGACTGATGCCACGTTTTGGTTTGGCCGCCCCTAACTTTCTTCCAACCATCCCGAACACCGGTTAACATTGCACGTCGTGGTAATCGGTGTTCGAACATACGTAACATGTGGCCCAACCATCTCAGTCGATGAAGATTCACAACCTCATCAACTGATTTACCATCATTCCCTAATACCCTGCGTCTAACCTCACCTCGAATGGTAATGATGAGAATATTTGTTTTTAATGTATCCCCTACTTTTTGCTAGATTCCTTAGATTTGGTATTACTGAAAACTTATGAACCAATATCGAGTAATTTCAAAGATGTTCATCTGTTAAAAAACTTTTATTAGATATTTCGACAAGAACGGCATGAAACTACATGTAGCCCTGAGAAAAAATCATTTTGAAAGAGCCAAAACTTTTCTAAATACCCTACATATACTACGAGATGACGACACCTACTCTATGCATCAATCAGAAGCTTGAAACACCGAAAAGAATGAAACAGTTAAACAGAGAATAATTATGCAACAATGTTATGGAAGTTGGAAATATAATACGCAAACTAGCAAAAATTTAAAGCTTACGGAACTTTTCTCCAAATCGCCAGATTTGTAAGTAATTGTAGCACTAGAAAAATTATGGACGCCACTTATTTGAGGTTTGAGGATTAAGACATGAGTGACGTTCGAGGAGGCAGGTATAACAGTCCACCGAGCAGAAGGGCCCCCATGAATCAGCGTAAACTCTGTTTCGGCAAAGATATCAAATAGCTCAACATCTTTGGCAGCGCGGCTGTATAGAAGGACAACAGCATGTGTTTATGTATTAGGGGACGACTAGGTATAACTATAATATTTAAAACAATTAGTCTGTCCAAATGCAAACATGGAAAGAAAATCAAGTAAAAGCAACGTAGTTTCGACCTGAGTTAGTCAAGAATGCGTCAAAGGCCAATATGAACAAAACAATCCCTTAATACGGATGATACATAACTCTCGAAGCAAGATAATTAAAGCTATGAAAACGCGAGAGGATGACGTAAATGAATGAACAGACTACTAAAACTGAACTGATTACATTTTTGTACTTAACACCAAAAACATAATCTCAAGTCGACAAGACCATTGAACCGCGAGAAGCGAGGTGGCAGTTATAAAGCGTTTACTGCTATACGCAACACTCCAAAGCTAATGTAGGACTCGCTCTTTTTTCCTCACGTTCAGTTTTTTATCAATAAAGAAGCTACTTTACGGGTTGAATTCAATCCTTACTCGTTTTCTCAACCCTCAGATTACATTTCTCCTACAGTTATCCATTTCCTCAATTTATCCTCATATATGAGGATACTATACTTACAAAAAGTAGTTTACCTTCCCTTCACAACTAAATCAACAAGAAAAACGCAAGAACTGAGATGAGTATTTCCCCTGAAACAAGGCGAACCGGCTGTCCCAATAATACACTACCTCAAAGAGAACGCATGACCCAAAAGGTGGCCCCAAGTATCAAATACACAACTTTCATATGCTGTTTGCACACTATTTCAAAATCCTCAAAATATTAGCACAATAGGTGCAGCATAGAAAGTAAAATTTAAATGTGTAAAATTACTTGAAAACAATGACTTGCGAGTATAAAGACATTAAAACTCACGACTCATGGAAATTGTATATTGTATATAGAATAGTGATTTCTTTTTCTTGAAAGACAAACTCATTCAAGATTTCCTTGGAGACCGCCAGTCGGACATTGTCCACGGAATCTGAAGACACCAGGACAACCAAATAAACAGCCAAAAGGATAGGTAAACTAAGCCTCATCACGTTGAACAAACTTCAAAATACCCCCCAAGCAAGGTGCACTACGTGGCAAGGTCACTCATATGTAATACGATAATTTTTTTAATGCATAGAAAAATCCAATAAAATGAATATGCTCCTAATCAGCCTCTCTGTCAAAAAGGGGTAAATTGACAACATTTTGTAATCAAATCTTATAGCTTTCAAGAAGATTGGTTTGGAGGTGTGTTGTTATTGTGTTTATTAGATCCGAGTGAGAATGGTAAGTATAGGGATTAGGAGGACTAATCAAACGGCATCGGTGAACTCTCAGGGCTTTAGGCCACAGAATGAGTGAGGCATTAAGCCAAATGTGTTTGGACTCAGTGAGATGTCCATGAGCCCTAACCAGATAATTCATCAGTCTGAACCATTTCTAGGTGAGACGACATATCAATGAACATCAGACAGTCTGTCGAACAATTTCAAGGTCAAGGGTGACGTAAAGATTAGATGATTGAATTCCATGGACAGGAGTTTTCGGCAGTGGTTCCGTCTTGTACACTTGTAACATTTTAATACTATTATGTGATGTTTACTACTGAGATTACTCTTGCTAGCCAGTCATTAAAAAGGTCGATTAACCTGGTTACACAGTATCCTTCAACTAGCTGCGCTGCCAAAGATGTTGAGCTATTTGATATCTTTGCCGAAACAGAGTTTACGCTGATTCATGGGGGCCCTTCTGCTCGGTGGACTGTTATACCTGCCTCCTCGAACGTCACTCATGTCTTAATCCTCAAACCTCAAATAAGTGGCGTCCATAATTTTTCTAGTGCTACAATTACTTACAAATCTGGCGATTTGGAGAAAAGTTCCGTAAGCTTTAAATTTTTGCTAGTTTGCGTATTATATTTCCAACTTCCATAACACTGTTGTATAGTTATTCTGTGTTTGATTAACTCATCCGTTGTTTATGCTCCCAGACTAAAAGACTAAGCACCTTGCGACTGACTCATCATTATGTGACTACCTGATCTACATGTCTTCACATCAGAGTTGTAGCGGTAAATAAATCCCTAAAATAAATAGCTCTGTAAGTTTTCGACATTGGATGCTGACCACTTGTTTTAGTGAACTCATCTAGCTGAAGGCGCTCGGTCAGGCATCCGTACCAGATCACGTGTGGTAACGCTGTGCTCAACATCTACCGCAATCGCTAGCCAGATTAGATCAGAGAATTCCGATATATTGGTAATCGCCAAATACACTCTCTCGATCTCCTCGACTCTGTCTTTTGATTTCTCTCGGTGGGTACAAATTATATTGGAAGGTGTTGCTGGTAAAAGCGTTGCCAAACACTGAATACCTGTGTCAACCTCATTGGTGAGACCAACGTGATCTGGTACACCGAATTGCAGCTGTGAGTCTGTTCCTTTTTGGGATTTTTATATATTATTGCCTTATTTTTTTAATTTTTATACATTGTGATATTTTTCCCCGTGTCTCAGAATATCTATATTTTTCCCTCGTATTCTCATACTTAATATTCCCATATGACCGAACAGACTCCTAAGGTATTTAAGATTAAGACCATGTCCCCACCCGTTCTGGCCCGACAATATCGAAGCCTGGTTCTGTTACGCAGAAGCCGACTTCCACGAGCACGGCGTGAACGACACACGTGCACAGTTCCTCACAGTAGTCAAGGCACTACCGTGGGAATTCAACAGGTACGTAACACCTAGTATGTTTACTAGTGATGTTTCTGAACCTTACGAAACTTTAAAACGTTCGATTCTTAAACGAGGAGACCTAACCGATCCACAAAGGTTAGATCAACTCTTTAATAACATAGACCTTCAGCACGATTATGCGACGGACATGTTGCAAAGGATGAGAGAGGTTATAGGCCCAAGAACTTTCGACACTCACGCGTTATTCGCGGTACGCTTGAAGTTTGCGTTACGATAACACGGTATCTAATTTACATTGTTTAAATATCGTTGAATCCCAGTTTATAACTCATAAATAGCTTTAAAATCTGTACTCAAAGCGATATGGGCCGACTGTCAAAAAAACGAGCCCATAAAAGCCCCAATACTTCAGATAATAACAATTCTGTTATTACCTATTCCCCATGTTCTGATACTCCTTTTGAAGCTGATAATGTTGGGATAGGTCTTACACCACATCTGATGCTGGATGACTCTGTCTCTAATTTAATAATGAGTTCCACATCAAGATCAAAGAGTATCGATAATATTAAGAGTGAACTAAACACTGTCTTTAAACAACTAACCGACATGCGTTCTAAAGTTGAGTCACTTGCTAGCTCTTTATCAAAGCATGATGATTTGAAGCAAGAAATAAAGACATTATCACCCCTTAAGCTGCTCCTGTCAAAAGATATCGTTCCTGCAGAACTTGGTGACATCATAAAAGCAGAATCTGTTATCGACTTTATCGCCAATGAAGTTACCAAGCGAATAATCTCTCGTGATTATCTATAATATACCTGACAGAATCCCCATTAAAACTGTAAGGAATTCGATATTAAAAGCATCTAACCTTCAGGATAGTCCATGCCAATGCATTCGACTTAATAAAAAGCACCAGAAATACTCGTGCCCGGTCTTGTTCAGATTTGACTCTCATATATTAGCTGAACGGTTAAAAGAATCCGAGAGGCTAATCTGCGCGCTTACAAAATTTAGAAACGCTCGTGTAGTCTCAGATAAGACCACCAATCAAAGGCTTACCCAAAAACGTACCTTGAACGAAAATAAAGATGTTGAGATCACAACAAACCACGATGCATCAGCTCCTAGATCCACTGATGCAGCTACCTTATCTCATGTTCTCCAGCACTCTGATATACCAACAAAGAATGCTGATTTGCCTGTTATGTCTGTAGTGACATCTGATAGCCAATGTACATCTACTGACGTCACTAGTCCGATATTACTCAGTTTACCATTAGAAGCCCATAAGCAAGTACTTAGTTCTAATGCTACAACTCTTACAAACGTTGTCAAGATTAAAATACCTTTGCCACATAGGAAGAATGTAAGTACAGAACCTTCTGGTTCTAGACCCAATATAAAAAATACTACGATGACCATACCAAATAAAAATAAGACTGTACTTCCCGACACCATGCTTCACCTTACGCTTCGTAAGGGAGGTTTTAAGGGCAGACTTGGTTCAAATGTCTCACAATATGGCCACTGCAATCATTATGTAAGCAGGCCTAATACTGGACAGACCACAATGAACCAACGCACCCTACGGTTATCCTCAAACGTTTTAAATAACATACCTGTAAGACGTAACTATTCTCAACACTTTCCCATCGGGCAAGATGGTTTACTAGGTTACTCAACATCAAACGTTTTAAATAATAAACCTGTGAGACGTAACTTTCATCAACAATTTTCCATTGGACAAGATGGATTACTAGGTTACGCACCATTAACCCAACCCCAACTGGCAGGTGCCTGTCTTAACTGTCCGCCTAATCAAGTTCAACAAATTAACCCACTTTATCAAAATAATGATTTTTTTGGCCTTCAGAAATCCCTGGTCCCGCTAGCAATGCAGTTTGTTCAAGCGATAGCCCATACGATCAGTCAAACATAATAAACCACAGTCTATGCAAATCCAAACTACATAACATCAATAGGGAAGCTCTCGGTTTTTTTACATTCCACACTCCCTTTTTAAATTTATTACTTATCAATGCACGTTCACTTCTGAACAAAATTTCAGCCTTAAGAACATTAGCTTTTCTAGCCAAACCTTCTTTCATACTTATCACGGAAACATGGTGCTCTCAAGTAGTATCAAATTCACAATTAAATATCCAGAACTATCGACTTTATCGCTGCGACAGAGAAACTAAGCGAGGAGGTGGTTGTATTATATATGCTTTGGATACCCTAACAACTAATAAAGTTGAAGATAGTGTCCTGAATAGTTTACCAGAATCAGTCTGGATATCAGTCAACACCCTAAATCATAGTCTACTACATGGATGTATATACAGAGCTCCTGATAGTCCGAATAGTGGGAATGATCTTATTATCAATGCATTCATACATGCATCCTCTCTAAACTTTAATGCTAAGGTTATCACTGGGGATTTCAATTATCTTGGGATCAAGTGGAGTACCGGTAGTTGTCAGTCATGTAATGATGAGTTCTCGGCAACCATTAACATGCACTGTTGGTCACAGTGGGTTCGTGTCCCAACCAGAGGCAATAGTATACTCGATCTAATATTTAGTAGAGATGTTATCCCACTATCTGTAAAAGTATATGATGAATTTGAAAACAGTGACCATAAGATAGTACTTTGCGCTCTCCCTATCTATTTTTCTTATAACCCACCTATTCAAAAAACCTGTCAATATAGAGACTATAAGCATGCTGACTAGGACCTCCTGCATTCATTGATTAAACTTTCAGACTGGGACAACTTTTTTTCATGTAATAGTCTCATGGATGCTATCGACGAATTCTATGTGATCATTAACCCTTGTTTAGATTCCAGTGTACCTCTTAAAACGTACAGGTTTAGTAAACCTTACGAATTATATATACCAGCTAAATATCGTAATAAACTAAAACGCCCACAGAATCGTTATTTTAAGTCAGACGACTTCACAGCAGTTGCACAAATAACAATAATTTTTAATCAAATTAAAGAGGAACATAGGTTAAAAGCCATTAATGAGGAGCTGTTAGCTCTTAATACTAACTCGAAAGTACAAAACTTAACTTTCCTTTTCAATAAACGCATTAAAGCAACTCGAAATGTTGATATACCATGCATCCAGCATAATAGCACTTTTATATACGACTCTAAAACCATGGCCGACCTTTTCAGTAGTACATTCGCGAATGTTGTAGAAAACATAAGTGGCTATGCTTCAAGAGCTATGTGCGTGACTAGCAACTCAATAAAATCTATCTCATTCACATGCATGAAAATTAATAAGGCTATAAATACCCTTAAGCTTTCGAAAGGTCATGGAGTAGACTGGATTTCATCATTTCTCTACAAATATGGTGGTCCAGATATTCCACTTC